TTCCATTAATCAATAAAAACATTTGGGGTTGCACACCAACTAAGAATGCATATACAACAAAAAAATAAAAGAAAAAAAATGTTTTAAAAAATAGACACTAATTAAGAATATGTTATGTGGCCAATGCTACAACTTGCTCTACTATATATAGTAAGGAAAAAAATAGGGAGGACAACGCAACACTCTCTAGAACAATGTCTCTTCAAGAAGCTCGGTGTTGAATTGAAGATTGGTTTCGGGTTTTTCATACAAACATAACACTAAGACCGCTCTCAGTGGAGTCGAAAAACCCTCAACCATATAAGACAAGGGTGCAAACGAATGCTTACTATATAATTACTCTTTCCTATCAATTTAAAATCATCTACTTGTATTACTTTAAATTGATAGGAAAGAGTAATTATTACTTTGGTGGCCTAAACCAAAAGGGGGGGGTTAAGTTCGACAATGCGGACCGACAAGCAAAACAATTACCTTCGCGGTCCAAACCGACAATGAAAATAGAATTGCTTGAGGGTGCAATGGATATTACCTTGGCATTGTCGAGCTCCCAAGGTGTCGACTGACAAGTATTGATTTCTTATAGCACTGGAGAGAAAAGTTTGACATGGACATAGTTTTCTTGTCAGGCTAGCTGCCAAGAAAAGTTTCCCTCATTGTTAACCGCGAACGAAACGGAATTTCACTTGATCTCTAGACTTGGCAGGTTTAATGTTCCCTAAAGATTGGCCGACAAATTCAAATTTACTGGTGGTTTTGATGCTTTCCTTGGCGATTTGTATCTCTTATGTAAAATCGCGATCCTTGTAGTGAGAACAAAATTTTTTTCGCGAACAAGTAAAAGGATTGCACGTCAGTATCTAGAAGAAGACACTTTTTCATTTACACACCGCAACCAGCCAAAAAGCCATTGTCTGGGGACAAGGAAAAAGGAAACGGAAAAATTGCTAAGGAAAAAAACACTAAAAATAAAAATAAACACTGCTCGATCCTATATTGAGGGAGGGTGATGGCGGAGCCCAACTACACTCCCAACAAGCCCCCAAAAGGCGCGGCGCCATCAGCTGACCACAGACAAAACTATGAAAACAAGCTTCTATTGAGGGCAGCAAGAATTGCAGATCATGAATCCTGCAACCCTCCCCACATTAGGACCCCTTAAAGCCATGAATTGGAATCTACATATCAGAAAAAAAAAAGTGATATATATGGTTGTTTTTGTTCTTCATCATATGCACACATTGATAGATTTAATTGGGTAATTGATCCATTTAAATCAATTAAATCAAATAAATTCCAAGGCTCATTATGCTAGGAATTCATGTGTATTCATTCTTTTATGGGATATCAATGGGATGAAGAGTTTTGAGAATTAATCCATTTGATTAGGGAATTGGTAACTTATATCAATTAGTCCTAATTGATGGATGGTTGATGGTTGTGTAGTGGAGGATGGTTCATGGCTAGTTGATGACAATTAGTTGCTCTATTCCTTTTCCTATTCCATGAGTCTTACTCTTCATCTTCCATTCCTCTTATAAAATGAGAATGGATTTGATCTCCCGCAAGAATAGTGAGACACACTTTCATCCATTTCCCAACGCTGTTGCTGCTACGGTAATCCCATCCCGACGAGTGTGTGCACACGCGTTGGGAGAGTAGGCCTCCGAAACCACGCGCTGCTGCGACGTTTGCACGGACGGGCGGGCGATCAGGTTTTTGGGGAGCGCAACGCGCGACTACTCACTGTTCGTCAACATCTACTTCACCTTCACCAATATGTCGAACACTGGAGACAACGGCAACACTGGATACAAGAAGAAGGAGGCTCCCGTCAACACCAACGGAGGCAATACTACCTCAAACTCCAGCGGAGGACCATTCTTGGGGTATAACCTTCTTACATTATTTCAATTAGAAGTTTTACTGTTAATGTTCATCGCAATGTCAATATTGTGTTATTATGTGATTGTTGATGCTTATTCTACATTAAGCATGCTCATGTTGATTACATTCACCACTATCACTGGATCAAATCTCATTGTAAATATCATGTTTATTATCTTGTTATTTTGGATTAAAATATGCCGAATTATGACCAAAGTTCCAACACACATCACAATTTGTTTAATTTGTTGCCGACTTTAACCTTGAAATTTTGTGTTAAGCTATACGTATATGCATATATAAATGCCATTTTTCATAAATTTTTGTAACTATTTAATTTGCATAGCATTTGATTAGGGGGGATGCATGGGTATAAGGAGGTACATGATCCTTATGGTTTAAAAACCCTGCCCTATATTCAGGATTTTTGTGTAATAATATATATAAACTTGCGGCATGTGCTGATGCACTATACGCCTACAACATTAGACAAGTACGTAGACAGTAGCTAGTCAGTGTTGGTTGGTTGTAAGCATCATATAGACGGAAAACATGTAATAAGACTTACAAATAATAGAGCTATAACCTTAAAAAAAATAGAGAGCTACGATATTCCTGGTACAATGAAAGTGGAAGTGTTCCTGGTACAATGAAATTCATAGTATATATGTATAGTACATAGAGCTAGCTAAACCTAAAGACTAATTGGGTATAGGCCGCAGCTTAATTACCAGTTAATTTATGTATGTTGTAGACTTACAGACTAATAATTGAGATTCAATTCTAACTCCTAAGCATATAGTACATATATAGAGCGACCTGTACCACAAACAAGACTTGCATGGTGGAAATTCTAGTAGTGCTGATGAAGTAGGTTATTGACCTAGCTTAATTAGACATGATGGCCGGCCTATGCATGAACCTCATCTTCTGAATGTGCCAAAGAATTTTGGCTCTCAGGGTGTATGCTTTCTGTCTCTTCCTACAGGGATCACCAACTTACAGTAGATGGGAATAGTTGGGTCCTAGCTAATATATCCAACTGTCCAGCCCATTTGTGACCTTAAAATTGACAGCATTTTGATCAGGGGTAGTAGCTGACAAACAGATGGCCAGCTAGTGTGGTCTTTTGGTACTATAGGGTCTGTATCTATATGATCATCCATTGGATAATTTCTCATATTTTTTGACTAGGAGGGTACCTATGTATAGTCAAGAGTCCTTTCGGGGTGGTTAGTTGCACAAATTCAATAACGCACTGTAGTTAGATAGACCATTTAGTTTACTTAATTATATGGGATGGAGTTGTACTTCTTCTAATCATTCATTGTTGTTTGCATTGAACTTACTAGATAAAAACTACCAACTCTGTAAGCTATATAGTACATGACTTTACGGGTGCAGATCCCCGTGGAGTTAATTGGCTTCCAACTCCAACCGGTGAATTTGGTCCAATCTGACCCCTTACTTTGTTTCTACGGGCTAGATGTAGCCATATCACCTCTTTCCAATTACACATTTATAACAGAAACAATTCAATCTATTTTTTTCGTAATCCGTCCATTCAGATCAATAGTCTCAGAAGAGCATCATGGTGTAAAAAATAATTATCTTTAAACCTTTTAATTGAGTTGTTATGAAATTAACGGTATTGAGACCTGTATCAAACTCATTCATCCTAATAATTGACAGAACATGAAGCTTCTACTGGTGCAATGTTTTTGTTTTGTTTGTTCTTATCTAATTATTATCAGAAAGTTTGAAGGTAACATGTTCTCTACTATATACTAGATAATGTTTTTTTATATTTTTTATAGACTCTACATTATATTTCTTTTGAAAGAAAATAGGCTAGTAGTAACCATGGGAGAAGGGATTGGTTTAATCTAATCCATCAAATTAAAGGGACGGCTTGGATTAAGTAAATCCACCTGGTGGATTTGAAGGCAACTACAGGGGATCCACTCATCCACACCCTTGCCGTCCTTGATGTGATCTCCTACCAAGCTGTGTATCATGTCCTGCAAGCCTGCACCAGATAGATGGCTCATGGCTGCATAATTTCCTGCACTATGCACACAAAAACAAAGAGATAAAGCATAAATCGATGCTGATGACTTGCATGTTCCATTAAAAAAATTGGCATGCAGAAATATTAAAATCTCTTAATTGCCATGCTATTGGATTAGTACACTAAAATAATTGAAATTTGTCTAATCTTTTTTCTAAAATAATATATCCCGTCCTTTTCAGAAACTAAAACCATGTGCCCTCTCGATCTTAAGCTATTTTCAGTGTCACCTTAATTAATTATGTTTTCGAGGGCCATCCCTGCAGCTAATCAATTAATGCCAAGCATGCATGCATCTAGATGCTGTATACCAAGTTGTAATTTGGTAGTAATGGCGCCGTAACAGTAGAGATGAGCAGTTGCGATGTTGGATTCAGCGATACCTTGACCAATCATCTTGCAAGAACAAGTACTTAATGAGAGGTTTAGTACCAAATTAGGCTAATTGGAGCCACCACAATCTTGTCCTGCCTACACATGCACACAGTATAAGTCCTATATTCAGAATTCAGAGCAGCTAATCGCATGTGTACATATCTATATATACATGATAAAAGAAATACTCGATCAGATACAAACAATTTATCACATGCTAGCTCAAAGACCTAGAATGCCTTTACACAAGCCAAGTACTAGTACTTGCGTGCAGTCTTGCTCATGCACAGGGTGTTCATGATGGATATGTTCAGAATATCATCACAATACATATACCTAGAACTACACACACATGGTCCATATGTATTAATGTAGGAGTACAACAAATTCATGGGATACCTTGACCATACTTGGGTACAAACACATAGAATATAATAAGACTATCAGGTTAACACAATGCCAACACAGGATTTGTTTTGTCTGTTCATACATGCATGCAAGTACAGATACTCCTGCCCCCCTTCCCTAGCTTCTCCTACAGGTAGGGCAATGTGCAGTAGCCTATAGCTACACATATATTTGTATATACAATTAATTAATTATATTATTTATACACATATATGCATCTACTATATATATGTGTGTGTGCATAGGCTCACTTAAGTAAGCAGTCTATTCTTCAGCAGATCCAATCATCACATACTAAGTAAGCTCCAGCTGCTAATCTTTCTCTCTGAATTCTCCATCACACAGTAGACATCAGCAGGAGTAGTACTAGCTAGCTAAGCTCAAGAATGGTGCGGAAGCCGACGAGTAGTAGAAACGGCGAGGCGGCCGCCGCCGCCGCCGCCGGCGGCGCGGCGGAGGAGAAGGAGAGGAAGGGGCTGTGGTCGCCGGAGGAGGACGAGCGGCTCTACACCCACATCACCCACCGCGGCGTCTCCACCTGGAGCTCAGTCGCTCAGCTCGCAGGCAAGAATTCATTTGACACCTAACTTAATTAATCATGCTTCGATAGTCTGTCTAGCTTGTAATTTGATTGATTTCTCTGCAGCTGATTGCTAGACAGGTGATTTGGTTTCTTGATCTGACAAGGTTGGCATTGCATTCCTTCCATTGTGCAGGATTGAGGCGGAGTGGCAAGAGCTGCAGGCTGAGGTGGATGAACTACCTGAGGCCTGACCTGAAGAAGGAGCCCATCTCCGATCGAGAGGCGGAGACCATCCTCTCCCTGCAGAAACTCCTCGGCAACAGGTAGCAATTCAGTTGGAGGACTTTTACACCGTTAGATTGTATATACTGCTAGTATATATTTGCAGTATAGTGTACCGTAAAAGTAAAAGTTCTCTTCAGTTTCAGTACCGAAATCCGTGTTCATTTTCATGGTTAATCCGATTCTCTAGCTGAACTTTCGATTTAGTTATCAGTGTTGATTTGATCATGGATGATATGTGTGGGCTGCAGGTGGTCGGTGATCGCGGCGAAGATGCCGGGCAGGACGGACAACGAGATCAAGAACTACTGGAATTCCCGCATCAGGAAGCGTCAGTCCGCCGCCGCCGGAGCTAAAGGCGAGCCGGCGCCGGCCACGGTCATGGAGAAAGAACCGACGGCCAATGCGGCCACCGTGGCGGCGGCGCCGGAGGCGGCATCTCCTCCTCCTCCTCCTATCCCGGCGCGGCTCCCGATGTTCTCCTGCCAACTGCTCGACGGAGGCGGCAGCGGCGGCGCCACCGCCACCACACAGTCGCCGCCGAACGCCGGTTCATCGGATATCAGCGAGGTGAGCGCCTGCGGCGGCAACGGCGGCGGCGAGGACTCCTCCCGTGACTACTGCTTCTCCGGCGGCGACGTCGACGGCGACGGCGACATGGTCCACCTCCTCGCGCTCGATGACCTCGACTTGCTCGTCGATGTCCCCGGATTGCTCGACGTTGATGCGTGGGATTGCGAGCTGTACCGTGCAGATTATTCGACGAGTAGAGCTCGATGAGTAATTGATGATCATCTTGAGTGTGATTACTGATTAGCTAGTTGATTACTAGCTCAGCTCGCAGCCAGCCAGCCTGAATCAGAAGCTACCTAGCCAGCCATCCTAAGTGATGATGTTCAAATTAAGTTGATTTTGTAATTCGGTTGAATTCTGCTGTACTTATATATTTGTTCAAATATGTATGAAATTGCTAGATTTTTGGGATATACAGAATCCTCCTCTCCTGTAGAATTGAGGTCAAATTCATTATTCAGAGTTCTAATTCAGCCTCTACACCTTGATTTGATTAATTAGTGTTGTCTTCATCATCATACACAATTACTCCTTTGAAACATTGAAACAATTCTTTTTCCGCCACTAATTAACTCGCACACATCCATGGATTAGCAAATCTTAAGATCATTTGCTAATTTAACCCCCTAGCTAGTGCAATCGACAAGCATGCATGGTGTGCATGCATCACACAACACTGCATAGATGGGTAGCTGATAGATTCTTCAGAAAGGGCATGTATGCATATGCAGCACAAGATAATTATACCAACATGCTACAGAAAATTTAGTAACTTTTTAGCCAATATATAATTAAATAATTAATCTCCAAATCATCGTTTTGCTTTACAGCTTTATTTGGTCCAACGTAAGATCGATCGATTTGATCGATTGATCTAGCTAGCCGCCCAGGTGCAGCTGAGAATGACACTAGTTAAATCAAAGTAGCTGCCCATGTGGTCATTAACAATTGAACTTAACCTGCAGAGACCTGCATGCCCCAGGTGCATATATATGCTAATTACACCACCTAATTTGTTGTATCTACATGCCATGTATTCTGCTTAGTGGCTTAATTAACTGTGCTTAATTAACCCTACTGTTTACATCCGTGCATGCGTGAAATGTGACTAATATGTCTACTAATTGTCATCAGCTAGTTAATCCGGATTTATATATGTACTGCTGGGATCAGCATGCTTACGCATGTTGTATCACTGTATCAGTGTATCACACCTACTGCAGAATTATACTTGACTGCGACTACGTGGCTAATTAATTCCACATTTCAACTACCGCTAATATTAGTACCTTAACTTTTGTAAATATTTAAGCATCTTTAATTCAACATGCTGTTGATCAACGGAGATGCTGGAAAATGATTCGAATCATTTTTTTGGGTGATCGATTAAGCTGTTGCAGAGCTTCCTGGTCCGGGCCTAGAGACGACAGCATTTGGGCCCAACCCACCACTCCAATTGGGCCATCCTACATAATGGGCCGGGCCTAACACCAGAAGATCCAAATCTAACTGATTTCTGGTGGGCTTCCGCTTTCACCGGCCCAACTCACTAACCTTCTAGAAGCTTTAGCTAGCTAATCTAATCATCGCACTAGCTAGCTAAAGCACCCACTCTAACTACTACTGTTAGACAGTCTCGCTCTCTGACAGGTGGGGCCTGTTAGGTAGTGAGAGCTTATCAGAGCACCGTACTTGTAGTAGTAGCAATGCATGAACTCTCCTTTTCTTTGAAGTGGTTGCAGCAAGCCAGCAAAGAGAATATACTGCAATTTTCAAACTCCTTTTGAGAAAAAAGGGGAGAAAAATATTGTGTAGAATTTGAATTTATTATTCTCCACTAAGTCATTTACAGCTAGCAGGTGATTATAAATCCAATTTTAAATCCATTTCGACGATTCGATATTCATGGAGCCAAACTGATCGTTCAGTCACAGACACAGCTCAGAGCTCTCGAGAGAGAGCGGCGGCCATGGGGTTCGCCGTGTCTCTCATCAGCGCCATGTTCCGGCGGATGTTCGCCTCCGCCGGCCTCCGGCCAGGCTCCGCCGTCGTCGACGACGACGGCACGACGCTCCACTTCTGGGCGCACTCCTCTCTCCTGATCCTCCCTTCCAAGAATGGCGCCGCCGCCGCCGCCGCGGCGGCGGGGCGGCGGCCGGTGGTGGTGCTCGTCCATGGCTTCGGGCCGGACCCGACGTGGCAGTGGGGCGCGCAGGTGGGCCCGCTCTCCCGCCACTTCGACCTGGTGGTCCCGACCCTCCTCTTCTTCGGCGCCTCCACCACCAGCGCCGCGCCGCGCTCCGACGCGTTCCAGGCAGCCGCCATCGCCGCGCTCCTCACCAGCGGCGGCGCGCACCTCCCAGGCCTCGGCGGCGAACGCCGGGAACTGCACATCGTGGGCACCAGCTACGGCGGGCTGGTGGCGCGGCACCTGGCGCGGGCGCTGTCGACGTCGGCCGGCGACGGCCAGGTGGAGGTGGGGAAGGTGGTGCTGTGCGACGCCGACCTGGCGAAGGGGGCGGAGGACGACGCGGCGCTGGCGGCGAAGGGCGGCGTGGCGGAGGTGACGGAGCTGATGGCGCCGGCGGACGGGAAGGCGTTCCGGCGGCTGATGGCGCTCTGCGTCCACCGCCCGCCCAAGTACATCCCCGACTTCCTCGTCCGCGACCTCCTCCGGGTACCTACGTACATACATACGTATACGTACCTCACCGTATACGTATACGAAAACTCTTTTAATAACCCGGGTGAATGTTCACCCGTTCATTGCATGTCGACTAAATATATTTATAAAAATTTTAAAAGATAATGAGATAAATTAATATGAGATATATCATCTCACAGGCATGAAGGTTTATATTTGTTTTCTGTATATAACTACAACTTAATAACAAATTTATTATTTTCTATTATAATTTATAGAAGTTGAATTTAAATTTGAGAGTGGTGTATCTATCTTATCATTCTTTTTAATTTTTTTCATAATTATTTAGTTGAATGGGTAGACGTCCACCGAATGATTAAACCGTTCTCATTACGTATTCTGCAGTGGATGCCATGATAGTGTAGTGGACTCTTAGCTAAGCTAGGAATTTTTGGATTTGTTGGCGAGTTGTCCCAAAAGCTAGTAGACTAGTAGTAGATGACTAATCATACAAACATCGTCCAATTAAAATCTTTTCTACCGACAAATTTGGTGGCAAATCATATCACCCACCGGCATATCGCACTTTTCCCGCCAAATATAAATAGTTGCATTTACACACGAAAAAGGTTAGGACTCGTCTCCATGGCGTGAGCGTGACGTCAGCATCTTGCATTCATGCCCTGACTCTTTCAATTCGATCGGATTTGCAGAAATTGTGTTTCAACTGTATGATATCACCGAGAAGATTGGATGCAGATAGAAATTAAGAAACGAGAGATAACTTTTTCGTTAAATTTTGATTTGCAAATTTGCAAACTGCGTGTGGTGCAGAAATATTTCGCGGACAAAAGAGAGGAGAAGATCCGGCTGATCAAAGAGATCGTCACCGAGGAACAAGACTCGCAGCTTAATTCTCCTCTCCCTCAAGTGCGTAAAATTTTCAGTTCAGAGAAGAAGAAAACACCAACTGATAACACACTGCATTGACTGAACATTCAGATGTAATGATCGTAATCTGAATTTGCAGGAAATTTTGATCATCTGGGGGGAGTTCGACCAGATTTTCCCTGTGGAGAAAGCACACAAAGTGAAAGAGTAAGCCTTGATCTTAATTACCATATGATCATTTCGTCAGTTTCCTATTTGCCTTAACAATTAATCGAATGAAATTAAATTTGAATTTGAATTTGAAGGATGCTTGGGGAGAAGGCGACGGTGAAGATAATACCGAACACGGGGCACCTGGCGCACCAGGAGGATCCCAAGATGTTCAACGATATCCTGCTCAAGTTCTTGCTGCCTTCTCCTGCCGTCGCCAATGGTGCAAAATAATCAAGTGTGCTAATACAATTATACAATGCGATCTGCTTTTCCGGCCATCGGGTACTCGGGTGTAATGGTTCAGGATCTTTGATTCGTGTTTCTTAAATTTCGAATTGTGTAATTGGTTGCATTTGAATTTATCATGGTCGAGAGAGGAGAGACATCGAAATGTTTTGTTTTGGTTCAGCTACTTTGCGAAGTTATTTTGGAGTACGCTCAATGTAAGAATTTATAAAGATCTTCGATGTCAAAATGGGTCCATAGCTCAGTGGTAGAGCAATTGACTGCAGATCAATAGGTCACCGGTTCGAACCCGGTTGGGCCCTATATATAAGCTGTCTTTTTTTCCAGCAAAAATTTTGAATTTCACCATGAGATTAAATGCAAATTCGATGCCCTTCTGATTTTTTTTTTCAAATTCTCTAAACCAAACCGAAAACTCACCATCCTTTCGCCCTTATATTTACGAATTCATCATGCCCGTTGTTTCTCCCTAAGTTTTGGAAACAACAAGAGATTTTTTTTTTCTTTTGAAATAATCACCGGAGGGGAGAGATTCCCACCTGTATCTTCCATTAAGATTAAAGAGGTTTAATAGTACAAGCATTGAGTTACAGACTTTTGCCCTAAGGCAAATCATATCTAATGAAGAGAGGACAGACTAGCAGAGAAGACATTCTTCCACACTTCACATTCAAGAGAATTTTTTGACACCGGCAGAAAATGACTGGCAAAATTCTACCATCATCCATTTATCCGCGAAACTTGCACTGACAAAACACACATTGGATTCCACAATATTATACACGCACAATGACAATGAACCATCGAGGAATCGTTGTCACATTATACTACTGGACCTGCCAAAGATGATGCTATCTTCTAATACTATCATAGAGTATACTTCTCTGCTACCAAACTGCCAATAAGTAAAAACCATTAGGTTGAAACTGAGCGTGCAAGGGAGCTGAACCATCTGATTCCCTTGCAGTTGCAGATTTGCAGGTCAATGTACAGAAGATGGCAACAACCACATATAGACATTGATTCTATACACATGTTGAGCAATATATAATGAACATGCCATCCATGCTTCCAAGTGGATCAGTTGGTGGAAAGAAACAGAATGATCCGCCATATCTTGATTTCTCACTTAAAAAAATAATGTGTTACAGGAAATTTCTGTAATGAACCCAAAAAAAATTACCAATAGTTTTGGTGAGTACTACAAAAGGCTTTGAGGAAACTCCTCAGAGAAGGTGGGGGGAACACTATGAGGACACTGAACTTCTACATCAGTATGATCAGAGTCAAGAGTGTTACACTGCCCCTAAACAATGGAAACAAAAGAAGCAGAAGAATGGAATGAAATGGAAAACCTGACCAACTAACTAATCAAGAATTACATAAGTATAACTGATGGGAGAAATGAGCAGATTGGATGCTCGTCTCTTCTTTGAAGTCTGAACCCGTTGATTTGGAGCTTCTTTTCAGCTTTATTTCTGTGAGGGAATCCAGTTATAAACATTTGAGATGTCAACTAGCCTGTACCTGAAGTAAATTCTCGGTATGAAGGAAGAACTCTGGTCAGCTGTACAAAAAGTGCTCGCGTCGACTATGGCAGACGCTGCAGGAACCAATATTCATCGGTTGGGCTGCAACTTTCAGAAAGCACTATCACAAAATATCTCTTAATCCCTCCCTTGAACCAAGGCATTCTTGGGGATTAGCATAGAAATAGTCCTCTTCCTTGGGCCGGCCAGGGATGACCTTTCTTTCTGTCGGCTGACCCATGCGATGCTGGTGTGCCTTCTTCACAGCAGCAGAGAATTCATTCCAGGACATTGCACCTCCTTGGAAACTATCCAAAAGTTCAACAAGTTTCACCCTGTCCAATAGGATGGTCTTGCGGAAGCCCGTGTATCTAAAATGGATGAACAAAAAGGGCTCCTCAGCATACAGAACATTGAGTTAAGGGCCTCATCGTTTGCCCTATGGCTTATAAGCCAAAGCCAAAATTTGAATTTTAAAACTTGAATTTGAATTTGATTCTTTTTCAACATAGTTTTTTTTCAACTTTGGCTTTTCAATCACTAAGAACATATATACAAAAGTTTTACTCACATATCATTTTTTAATCGCTAATAAGACGTTATGGCTTATAATATGACTAGACCAACCGATGGGGACCTAAGTAGTTTTAAAGTCACTGATTTTTTTTTCTTTTTTGTAGTTATTTGTAAGAATTCAGAATGCACAGGAGCCCAAGCAGTTCTTTACTAATGTCAAAAACAAACCATGAGTGAACTCTAGTTGGATTAGATTCCGGAGAAGCAAACCTGCGATGGCCTTCAACAACCCTTGCCATATTTCCATCATAACTGGGGATGAAAACATCGCTTGCTATTGAAACCATGTAGTCCAGTGCTGCCATCTGGGTTGAGTGGTTCTGGAATGGCTGCAATTCCTCAGGAGATAAAAGTTTCTCCTTCCGTACCTAACATAAGATCAAAGTGAGCTACTATAAAGCATCCATGATAAATCTAAAGGGGACACCTTAAATGGGAGAACCTGCTCACCAATCTAGGATATGCAGCCTTCAAAGCTGCCAACCGCCTTTCACCTCCATAGATTTCACCAGAGGCTATATAAATCAGTGTATCCTTTTTAAATCCTAGAGCTTTAAGCACCAGAGTAATTTCCTCGGGTGTAAGGGGACAAAGTCCCTGAAACCTCTTAACCTCAGAGTCTATCTCCTTTTCTTTCCACCATGGATATGCATATCTACAGTTCAAAGACGATTCGTTCATATCTATTAAAGTAGCAAATCAGTACAGCAAGTCAGCGTTAACTAGTAATGCAAATCATTACAGACAAACCTCATTCTAGTGAGCTCTTCGGTTTCTTCATCAGAACAACCGTGTGTGCAGCCCGAAAAGGAAAGCATATCCATTTCATATCGTAAGTGTAGAACAACAAATTGCCCACTTTTTTGAAGGGTGGAGATAAGTTTTCGTCCAAGGGCCTCAATCTGTGGGGTGAATCTCAAAGCCTCAAAGTTGACACGGCAACGCAGCCTTTGGAGCTTGACAGGAAGACCGTTGTTTGCAAGGCGGGCATCTGTTTTATTGAAATGGATCACTTTGTGCTTCCTTGCAAGACGTAATACCTGCATAGGGAATCTGTCAGATGACAGTTTTTTTAAGTGCTGTTAAACACAGCCAGAACAAACAAACTTTTATTACCCGCTTTAGATAGTATGTCTCGTTGGACCAGCTCACAGGTGGCATTGAGTAAAGTCTTCTCTTAGTTTTTAACTTGAGTTTCATAGGAAGTTCCTTAACAATCATCAGCTCATCTCTTAACGAATTAATGAAGTGACTGACGTCAAAGATATCTCCAAATTCACTGAAAAAAAATTAAAAGATACTTTTGAAATAGAAACACAACAGAAATTACTGTGGTTCGGCTACATTTTCACTTGCAAAAATCATAGTTCATTCTCAAATATGGAGATGAATGCTGTTTACAATAGCAAGGGATGATAACTCATGTTCACAACAGCAAACTAGGATAAAATTGTTCATCAAACAGACATGCTGTTGATATTACAGAAATGAAGGTTATGTGGGAAATTATACCTTGAGTCAGCCCAAAAAGACCTCTTATCCAGTTCAGGCACCACTAATGTTAGATTCAAATAGCGAGCTATGGTCACCATATCACATATCTGTAAAACAACATTATAAGAAATTTATATTCGAATTTAAAATGAGTGGATGAGCTAGCTCAAGCTACAATAGCTAAGGTACAAACCCCAGCTCGCATTTGATTGAGTCCTCCATTGCAAGTCACCAGTAAATAGCCATTGCTCTTATAAATTCCTGCAAAAAGCAACAAGATGCCAATCAGCTCTAGTACCAACAAAAGGACTGAGACAACAAGATATGTGAATTGTCTTCTAGTTATGTGTTTCTACAATGAAGCTGCTAGCAAGCTACAAGCAAAAAAATCAATTTGGCAATAATAAAGGAGTAGAAGTTTGCATCAATCGGAGCTTGTTTGACACATCGTTGTTGAAAAGCTTACATCATGAATTTATGATTCCCACTTCTTTTCTTTTTATTTGACAGAAAACAGTAGGAGAGGCTCCTACTGCGCTATATTACTATATGATTCCCATTTCTCATGGAACACACACGTCTAATAATAAATATATAATAATCCCTTTTAACTTCAAAGCAAATAAGTTCATTTACCAATTCACATCACCTATTCCAGAGCCCATTTCATGCCCAAAGCGCTGGGCTATATGGGAGTTTTCTATAAGTAAATTAAATTAAATAAACAACTACTAATTATAGCATACGAGCAACAGAGGTTGAAGATATGAACCCACATTTGGGTCGAGGTTCTGAGAAGAATCTCATTCGAGCTACCAAAGGATGACCTCCGCTAAATAATCCATGATATATCCCAACAAATCATCGCAAATTTAGAAAGTTCTCGCCCAATTCAACCCCCCGAGATCCCCAAAATGGCACAAAACCTGGTCAAAACCGCCAATTCGAGCCCGAGATCGAACCGAACCAGCACGAAACGCGCCTCCTTTGACCACCAAGCAACCGCATTTGACTCGCCCCAACCGCCCGAATCAGAGAAGCCACGACCTCCCCTCTCCCACACAGATCGCGCAAGCTCGAGTACTACTCCTATTTGCTAGGAGCGCGAGGGGAGGAGAAGCAGAGAGGAGCACGAAGAGGAGGAGGAGGGGCACTCACTCCTGGGCACGAGCGCCGGCGGCGACAGCCTCGCCGCGACGCGGTCCTCGCCGGCGAGCGCGGCGAGCCCCGTGGCGGCGCCGCCCCCGCCGCCGCAGTCGGCGAGCACCCGCGGCCTCCACAGCCCGGCGATCGACGCCAGCTGCACCACCGCCGTCCACACCACGGCGCTCGCCGCCGCCCTCATCGCCCACCTCCACGCCCGCCTCCGCCGCCCGCCGTGCCCCGCCGCCACCACCATCTCCACCACCTACCCACCAACGAAGCTCCCCCTCCGCCTCGCCACTAGCCGCCGCAGCAGCGACTCAGCGAGATTAACTAGCCTCCTCTTTCGATTAGTTTAGTGGGAAATCCGCCATGAAAAGGATTGGAGAAATGGAGGGAGGAGGAGGAGAGATGGAGGAGAGGTAGGCACGACGTTAGCATTTGGAGAGGAGGTGGGTAGTAAGTAATAGTAGCCCTTAAACACGCCGGATTAAAATTAATTAGGTGATTAAACTAATCCAAT